AATTCCTCAAGGTTCAGAAGTAAAAGTCTCCCCGGAAGTGTGCTGTTTGCCTAAACTGGGACGTATCTGAAAAATTATTTATACCAGCATTCCCTTTGCCTTTCGGGGCAGCCCCAATAATTCCTGTCCAACTGCAAAAGCCACAGCATAGTGCGTTATGCTTCGGCTCTGCAATTTTAAGTTTATGAACTTAATATTATGTCAAAAGCCAATATATATATCATGTATGCATGCGTACGAAGCTGGATGGAGAGGGAGAGGTGACTTCTGTGTGTAAAGAGTTTGCATCTGGTCGAGTAAGAGGGGGCAGGGGCGTCAGGCATTCCTTTATATTAAAATAGCTTTTTCCCCATAAAAGACTGGTTGTCATCGCTCTGATTAAAATTAATTGATAGAAGCCATCCTTTCAATCTGAAGTAACCGCTTCACTGTCGGGAGATTGCCCGCAGCCTGCCCGCGAGGAGACACCGCAGGCGCTGCCTTTGGCTCCTCTGTAGCCGAATACAGATATTTACACGAATAAGAAAATGGTAAAATGCTGTTCTTAACAGAGGAGAGGTGGCCCGAGCTCTCCCCGCCGACCTTAGGGAGGCTGTTTTCGGGACACCTGACGGCTTCGTTTCTGATCAGCTGCGAGCGTTCTTGCCTCGGATGTCTTTAAACTTCATAAAGTTGCTTTCAAAGAAGTGTATTTATAGCGGCGACAAAATGCTGCATGCAGCCTAGTGTCGTAAAGCGGCGATGATCGTCACGTTTAGCTCTGACTAGAATGTATAAATTGGGATCTGTAGCTGCTGGCAGCCTTGTCCTTCGTTTCCAAAGAAGTCATATTTTCGAGAGGGTTGATTGAAATGAAAACACGTGTTTATGCCTTTCCATTTCTTAACTCCAAATTACCCCTAACGAAAGGATATAGTTTGATTTGTCATTTGTGTTTAGGGTATGTCGATGTGGAAAAGTAAGCAAATAACACTCAAAAGCATAGCTGTAATTTACAATGAATTAAAATTGATTCTTTTCATCAGGCAAGAAAATAGGGAAATGTGAGGTCGTTAATTATTGCGGGAGGCGCTTCTCATTAAAGCGAACAATGTTACAATGCAGCACTGAACAGCGGGAATGTGAATAATAATATCCGATATTTCAGCACTACTGTCTGGAAATAAAAAGAAAAAAATATATTAAAAAAAAAAAAAAAAAGCCGCACGAACAAGCCAACAACCAAAAGTTGCATTTGGTAAACGCTGTGAGCGTTGTTGGATGTAAAAACCAATTACGGTGCTCTGCATACAGCAGCCGGCTTAACTGGATGGATGCTCAAGAAATACATAAATAAAATATCAAATTACAAATCTTATCAGCCATTTATGCCAAGCCACCCTGCTGACTTTAGCAGTTTAACCTTATTTTACTGTGTTTCTCTGTCCAAATATAATTATTCTGATAAAAGAAGGTTCTGTTTCTAAATCAGAGCAGAATTGGTTAAATACACTTGTTTATATTACAGCCTCATTCAATCAGGGCTTGAGTTTAGCGGGGAGGGGAGAGGGGGAGCTCTGGGGTTTGGAAAGTTCTCTACCCTTTCTTACCAGGGTCACAGCGCTGGAGAATTAGGGTTATATTACTCCCAGACGCGGCACGCCCCGCTCCCGCGGCCCTCGCTCGGGCGGATCGGCTGGCGCGGGCGGGGGGGCCCTCCAGGGGAGGGCAGAACCGGCCCCGGCCGGGACCCCGGGATCGGGCCCGCCGGGCTCCGCCGGGCAGGGCAGGGAAAGGAAGGGATGGGATGGAAAAGGAAAGAAAGGCAAAGGAAGGTGCGGGGGGAGATGATCTCCCAGTGCCTGGCCTCTTGGCAGGCGCTTCTGTACGAAATTCAATCTCTATTTTTTATGAGAAATAAACTGTCTAAATAAATTTTATTAGGGGCAACCAATATATTTTCTGGTACTGCCCTTTGTTCCAGTTCTACGTGTGTGTAACAATCTAAAACCTATTTATTGAGGAAAAATCACTGGATCCGTCATAGAAAATCCTTTTACTTTGCTCTGAAGTGATTTCTGAAGACACTCGTGTCACTCTGAAGATTTTTGGCCATTGTGCTAAAGCCTTTCCTTGTTAGGAACTTCAGTTCCTATGATCATGTGGGGAATACCGTAAATTGTAACAGGGAATGGAGTTGACTGGCAGTTTTCTGGCTACACTGGGAAAATGGAAAGATGACGGGGAATAAAATCCTTGTAAATACATCTCCGACGCTGCCCAGGTGAATTCGGACACTTGACAAAACAGGAGTGCGCGAAAGCGGAATGTGATTAGGGTATTTTACATGTGCCCCATTGTCATTTTCTTTCTGACACGCGTGTCAGCCCAGTCCGCTCTTTTCTCTCCCGCAGACTTCCTTCTCTGATTTCCCCCCTTCCCTTAAGACGATTGCGATCTGAAGTCTTAGAAGAAATGATTTAGTTTGTTTATACTGCTATAAAAATCAAGAGCAATAGAAAAGTCATAAAATGAAGCGCGCTATCAATCACACCGCAGCATTGTTATTCAGCAGTTACTAACAGAGATTGATAATCCTTTGATTTCATCCCATTGTTATTACTCTGATGTGTCTGCACATTAACTATTACACATTTATTTATCGACCTGAAACATACAACAACACGGAATAGATGCACACGCACGCCTTGCCACCCTGCCCGCGGCGCGCTCGGCGGAAGCCGACTGCAGGCACCTCGAGCGCCCGCACACTTGTGCCGATACATTCAGCTAAAACGGAGCCCCTGGCGCCCCGGCCAGCCCCTGACCGCCCGCCTCACCCCGGCCCGGGCACGGCCAGGCTCCCGCGGCCACGAAAGGCTGCGCGTCGCCCCCGCGCCGCCGGCCCGTCTCCCCAGCGACTCCGCCGGCTCCGCTCCGCGGGTCCCGCCGCCCGGCAGCGGGCCGGGGGGCTCCTCCCAGCGGTTTCCACCGCCGGGTCTTCCCCTCCTGCCCTACAGCTGCACACAGAGAATAATTTTCAAAGGAAAAAAGCACAGCAAATGTGCTATCTCCGTAGTCACCCATCCAGTCGAGGGAAAATAATAACCCCGAAACTCCCACCCCACCTCCATCTGCTTTCTTTCTCCCTCTGTCTCCGGCTAAATTGTGGCCCGGCTCTGGGTCTCTCTCCCTGCTCTGAGCGGCCGTTCCCGAGCACCCAGGTCCTTCGCAACATCCCGAGGTCTCGAAAGCCGAATTGAATCAATGTAGCCTGAGCTGGGAGGAGGGAAAAAAAAAAGGCAGCAAAACTGCCCTAGAGATCGGTCGGCCGGTTCCTTTGTCTCCTTCAGTCTCTGCCGAAACCCCTGCACATCTGAGCTGCAAACAAAACCACTCTTGCATCTGTTCGCATGCAGTATTTACAGTGTTTCGTGTAAGTCAATTGGATGGCGGGAAAAAAAAGCCATTGGCTCCGTTTTATTTAACATAGACTTCACTGGGCTCGCTTTTTGGTGGAAGCTTTATTTGCACTAAATGAATAATCTTAATTGCATCACTTTTGAATTAAAAATCAATGTTAATCAAGTTGGAAGTAGTAAATATCAGTTTTCATTGTGCCCGCGTAGAGGGTATTTTTCTTGTTTTGCAAATAAAAATACAAGTCAAATAACTTTAAAAGGGCATTATGTTCTGCTACAAATACAATTGAAACGGATTGTTTAGGAGCGGATCAGAAATGGTACAGAATTTTGCACTTAATTTCCTCAGTTATCATTTACAATAAGAACCTCTTGGCTTGACAGCCAAGTCTAAACAGTAGTAAATTAGTACAAATTTATACTGATTTTACTCTAATAATCGTAATAAAAGCTTATAGATTTGGCACTAATTACATAAATGCCTAATGATCTTGAAAATTACTCTGGTTAGAAATATATTACTAATCTAAACTTTGTTGTTGGCTGGCTTTGAAAAATCAGAACATTAGAAATGGTTCGCTTCACTTCTGCAAAGCACTTTAAATTGTTCAAGTAGTTTAATATATTCAAGAGGAAAATAAAAAGCATTTAACTTTATTTACTGCTTTAAGTTGAGTTTGTAGGCTAGCCGAACTTGGAAACTTTACCCGAAAAATAGGGCTTACGGGCGTTCAAATCCCGGGTAGGGAGGCAGAGCTCCCGGGCGGCCGGGACGCATGGTCCTGGGCTCCCTTGCCCCTCGTTGCGCTCTGCCTCGGCACCGAGCGGGCAGCCCCGGGGGCCGGGCGAGCCTGTGCAGCACGGCCCGCTGCGGGAACTCGGGCAAGTTTCTCTTTCCTGGACGCCCCGCAGCCGTCGGGGCTCGTGTGGGTGAAAGCCTGGCTGCAGTTTCCCCTGCCGCTCCCGCTCCCGGTTCCCGGGACTGCTGGCCAGCGGGGCCGGCGCTGCCCCACCCCGCTCCACCCGTCTGCCCCGCTCGCAGCCCTCAGTGGGCTCTGAGCTTGCGAGACCCTCGGGAGACTGATCGGTGAGAGGCTGCGCTCCGAGGAGGCATTAAAAACGATAAAAGCCGGTAAACCAGGGGCGACCCGGAGCGGAGGAGTGTGGCAGATGTGCGTTTGGAAGAGAAGAGAAGGCGAAGGCGGGCGGGCAAGGCGGCGGAGCGGGGTAAGGGAGCGCGGGCGCGGCGCGGGCCGGGCCGGCCGGGGCGGCGGGAGGCCTGGGCGGCGGCAGCGGGCGGGCGGCGGGCGGGCGGAGCGGGGCGCTCCGGGCGCTGACATTTGCAGGCTGCCCTCCTGATTGGTCCCCGCGCCGAGCTGCTCACGGGTTCATTGAAGTGTTAAGCACCTCCCCGTCTCTCTAAAGGACATTATAATGCAAGAGACCCCCTTTTTAACCACACACCGAATTTTCTTTCATTTAGACGATCTATATATATATATATCTATATATATATATCTCATATCTTATATCTATTTTAAATAACTTAAGGCCGCTAAAATTTGGGGGGGAACAGCCTTCGCCCTGGAGCGGTGCGCGATGCTGTCTCACGCCGACCTCCTGGACGCCCGTCTCGGTGAGTTTCCCCCGGCACCCCCCCGCCCTACGGCGGCTGCACCGGCTGCGGCGGCGAGCGGGGAGGAAGCTGGGGCAGGAAATTGACAATTTGTTCCTTATTTTACCTTAATGCGTTCTAAATGGGCTAATTCCTTTAAAAGTAATTGTACTGTATTAAAGTTTAATTTGATTTAACATAAAAAAGAAGAGAGTGCGACCTACGGTGTATGTAGATCTACAGCGAGTTGTGGATAATTTAATTTTTCTCTCCCCAGTTTTTATATACATACCTACACATTATTATTGTTATGATTATTATTTTAGGACAGATGAGCTCGATGGTGTTTACGGAGTTCTGTGTGGCCTTTCACCCGTTTGCTTTTCTCCCTCCTTTTCCTTAAAAAAAAAAAAAAAAAAAAAAAAGGAAAGAAAGAAAAAGAAAAGGGAGAAATATCTGTATCTATCTATTTATGGTTATTCATGACTTTGTTTAGAGAAGCGGCAGGAGGAGAGGGGAAAGATCGGCCAGACTGACCGAGGTCCCCGCGCATCTGGCGGGGAGGTAACGCTCCCGGCAACAGGGCGGCTCGAGCCTTATTTCTTTCTCTCCGTCTCTTTCTCTTACCAGCTCCGCTGGAAAACCCAAGTTGAACCCGTGAAAACTTGCTCTCCTCCTCTTCCCTTCCCTTGGTCTTGCAAGGGAAGGCCGGGCAGGGAACTGGTTATTTCAGCAGGAAGAGGAGCTGCTCGATGTAAAGTTTTCTCCCCGCCGCCCGGGTCGCGCCGGGCTAGGGTGTCTGCGTGTCGTGGAGCCGAGCAGGGTTGCGGGTCTGGCGGGCGGCCGGCCGGGAACGGCGGGGGGAGGCTGTGGCGGTGCTTGGATGTCTCTCTCCAGTTCAGTGTGCTGGAGAGGGACTCTGATGGATCTGTGCTCAGCCGCAGCCGAGTGACTGCCGCCCCTTTGCTTCCGCAGGGATGAAAGACGCGGCCGAGCTGCTGGGACACCGGGAGGCAGTCAAGTGTCGGCTGGGCGTCGGGGGCTCGGATCCGGGGGGACACCCGGGAGACATGGCTCCCAACTCGGACACGGTGGAAGGGACCACCCTGCTGCCGGGAGAGGACATCACCACGGTGGGATCCAACCCCAGCTCTCTAGCCGTCAGCGCCAAAGACGCTGACAAGCAGCAAGGCCAGCAGGGTGGCCAGAACTCCAGCCAGGCCGGGCAGCAGCAGGGTCAGCAGAAGCAGAAGCGGCACCGCACTCGCTTCACGCCGGCGCAGCTCAACGAGCTGGAGAGGAGCTTCGCCAAGACTCACTACCCGGACATCTTCATGCGGGAGGAGCTGGCCCTGCGCATCGGTCTCACCGAGTCCCGGGTGCAGGTAGGAAAAGCCGCCCCCGCGCAGTGCCTGCCGCCCTTCCCCAGTCGCACGGACGGCTGCACGGCCGGCCGGCGGCGAGGACAGGCACAACGGGGAGCGGGGTGGGTGCCCCAAACCTCAGCCCGATGGCGGGGTAAATAACCCACCCCTGAGTGCAACAGTTTGGTCAGAAAGCCTTGAAATCAGACATAAGTCGCTCCCCTTTCCGTAGAAGTGTCACCTTGGGGTGTCCCCTTTTCCTCTATTCTACCCACCTGCAGCGCGGTGGTCCCGAGCGGGGCGTGGGCTGACCTTCCCTCAGGCCACGGCCCCACCCGTGGCTGGAGGGAGTCACGGCCCCACCCGTGGCTGGAGGGAGTCCGGGGAGGGACAGCCCGAGAAGAACGGTCTCAGTCCTCGCAATAGCCCGGCGCTAAGAGTCGAGCCGGACCTGCCGGGAATGACTCCTTTTGCCCCCGAGCGGAGTCCGGTGGCGGCGGCGGGGCCGCTGTCCAGGGTGCTGATGGCCACACTGCCGCGGCAGCGCCGGGCAGGGGCGTCCGCCAAAGCCCACCGCCCTGAGAGCCGAGGTGGGGTGCGAGGGAAGGCATACCGGCTCGTAAAAAGGCACTTCGATAAAAGCCAGTTGTGTCTGGACTCGGACTTTCCCCATACTGGCTTTTATAATGTCTGGGAACGGCGGGGGTAGTGAGTAACTTCATCAGCTAGGGCGCACTTTGTTCTCTAAAATACGTATATATACACACATAGACATATATATATATATATGCACACCAAACAGTAAGAAACTATTTAGACAAATAAATGTAAACGAAATTTGGTAAAGGGGGAGAAGGTGCAAAGCACTAGACTGCTCAGACGCAGCTTTTTTGTGCATAAGGTTATTGTAGCGACTTTCTAGGCGAGTCCATGCCGAGGAATGACAGGCTGCACAAGAGGCACTTGTGGGATGCGCACCCCGGCTCAGCACAGTGCACCGGGGCTGCTGCTGCTGAAGCACTTCAGTGCAGTCACAAAATCCCTATCGGCAAGCACAGCTAAAATCCTCAGCTAAATAAAGACACGTGAAGAGAAATCCCTAAATGAACATTTTATGAAAGAAAACAGATTCCGTTCGTGAATGTGACACAAAAACCACGTCTGTTTTTAAAAAGTAAAACAATTTGACTCAGCCTACACAGAACTATAATTAGTTTAAATTAAAAAAGAAATTAGATTCACAAATAAAATATAATTGGACAACTGACTCTATGAAAAAAAGAAAACGAGGTCTATTAAACTTTATTGGGTTTCCCAAAGGTTAATGATACCAATTTCAATATTAGGAGTGTGGTAAATGAAGTAAAATATAAAATGGAAATAGTTATTTTCTAACAGCACATCAAAGAAATTCGTAGAAAGAAAGACAAAGTGTTTTAATGGCCTTGGCATAATCTTAAACTAATGCTAATAGCTCGCGACTGCTGATAAAAACAGTTTAATAGAGTGTCAATTTAAATTTTTTTTTTACAATAATGTTCTGTAATTTAAAAAGTAATCAGATCAACATAACCTTCTTAATTAACACTTCAAAATGATTAACATTATGTAATCTAAGGCAAAAAAAATTTAATATATTTACTTCATAATCCGATGTATCACTAGTCCTTGATCAAATTTAAATTAAATAATAATTAGTTTATGTTCTTATACGAGTACTTTAGAGTTTTCTTTATAGTTAACAGATAGCCTACACATTCCTTTCAGTACATGGGCTCCGCACTGATTAGGAATGCTCCAAATGCCTAATTTATAGCGGCTGTATTTGTTTTTAAGGGTTTTAGATGCTAGGATAAATCACCACTTTCCTCATTTTAGATCTGTATTTAATGTATATGATACATTTAAATAATTATTAAACTGGCTGATGCTTAAACGAGAGTCCAATTCCACATCTGATATTGCTCTGCTTTTCAAGCTGCTGTAATAAAACCATTCTTTTTATAGCATGCCATTATTAGAAACCAATTTCAGAATTATTTATAACCTGGAATGGCTTATTAAGCAGCAATGCGAGAATCATGCAAATTACGCGATCAAATGCAATATAATAAGCATAATCATTAGTCTCTAGCACGGATTAATTAACTTTCAATATTTTATTTACATAAAAACTAAATCAGTGAAATAACTTCTGCACAGTCAGGCTTGCCTTCCAATATTTTATATGAACAAAAATAATGTGCTGTAATTCCATTGACCGTGTCCCCCACAATGGTCCCGTCACCTGCCACATCTTAATAGGGGACAAGCTGAGAGTATTTTCTAGTTTTCTAATGGAATGAGAAATTGCATTTTCTTCCTCTCCCAGCACTATTAAAGTGTAATGAATTCGGCCCAGAGTTCACGGCTGGCTGATCGAAATGAACCTGAGATCTGAGCTTTAATACAGCTCTCCAGATTTCCTACCAAATCTTCACATTAATCATCTGCTGGATTCCAATGAGATCTTCATAAAGCTTCGGCTTCTTAAAAGAAAAAAAAAAAAAGAAATAAAAAGGAAAAAAAAGAACATAAAAAGAACATTTTAAAAAAAGAAGAAGAAAAACAAAAGTGATATTGTCTCCCTTTCTATCGCTTTCACTCTCTCTCACCCGTTTATAGCTGGGGAATTAAATGGGCTATATATTTTAAAATACATTTACAGTATGTCTATATTACTGTAACAGCAGATATCATCAAGGTAGGTTTTTAGATTCCAACCTCCATTAGATTCTCACTGCTGTATTAATAATTTTCAGAGGCTAGTTGCATTTTAAAAGGAGTTCAAAGTTTCCAAATGCTCATGGTTAATATATTTCTAGAGTTGTCATGTGTGCATTTTCAAAATCTCCCCCAGGTTTTCTTTGCATTTTAATCTGTCATGCACCAGTTTTCAACTGGAAACATTCACATTTTAAAAGCATATGCAGTGTAGCTATGAACTTAGGCGATCAGACCTGATGGAGATTCTTTACACCATCAGCAAACCATGAAACATAAAAAGATTTTGTAGCCGCAATTTGACTATTAACCCTAAAACATAATTGAACGCGATTTTTCGATTATTCATATAATATTTAGCTCCCTCACGGCCGTTCATTCCTGCTAACTGGCGTCCGCCTTTCTCAGCCCGCCCGTGGAGCCTGAGAGGGTGGAATCCGGCAGGATGGGGCACTGCGCTCCCTCGGATTCCAGGTGGACGCGCTCTCTCCCGGCTCACGACTGTCTCGGTTGCTTTCCGCCGCGGTGCGGGGAGACCCACCAAACCATCCCTGCCACGGTGCCACCACGAGCACCCACTCACCTAAACCACCTCTGGCTTTGTTATTATAGGTTTGGGTTTATGTTTTGGGGTTTTTTTTAAACCCAAATGCGGCCAGTTTGGTGCGAGCGAGGGTTTCCTGGCCGGGCCCGAGGCTGGGCTCTCTGCCGGCCGCGCTCCGAAGGCGGCTCGGGAGCGCGTCCACGCAAGGCCCAGAGCCGTAGACTGGTTGGGGGTTTTTGGTTTTTTTTTTTTTTTTTTTTTTTTTTACCCCCCGCCGTGGGCAGGCCAGGTTCCTCTCCTGGAGTCTCCTGCCCAGGACGGGGAAATCGATCGCTTTCGTTGCAAAAAGTTCCAGCGGTTTCGTTAACCTGTGATGGGGACGCGCGTGGAGCTGTGGGTGTGCAGAGCGACTGTGGCCGGCGGGGCGAGGCTGAGGGGGCGGCGGGAGCCGGGGCGGGGGTCCCGGCAGCGGGGGGTGGTGGTGGCTAACGGAGCGTGTCGCTGCCCGCAGGTCTGGTTCCAGAACCGCCGCGCCAAGTGGAAGAAGCGCAAGAAGACCACGAACGTGTTCCGCGCCCCGGGCACGCTGCTGCCGACGCCGGGGCTGCCGCAGTTCCCCTCGGCCGCCGCCGCCGCCGCCGCCGCCATGGGGGACAGCCTGTGCTCCTTCCACGCCAACGACACGCGCTGGGCCGCCGCCGCCATGCCCGGCGTGTCGCAGCTGCCGCTGCCGCCGGCGCTGGGACGGCAGCAAGCCATGGCGCAGTCCCTGTCCCAGTGCAGCCTGGCGGCCGGCCCGCCGCCCAACTCCATGGGCCTCTCCAACAGCCTGGCGGGCTCCAACGGCGCCGGGCTGCAGTCCCACCTCTACCAGCCCGCCTTCCCCGGCATGGTGCCCGCCTCCCTGCCCGGCCCCAGCAACGTGACGGGCTCTCCCCAGCTCTGCAGCTCCCCGGACAGCAGCGACGTGTGGCGGGGAACCAGCATCGCCTCCCTCCGCCGCAAAGCACTAGAGCACACAGTCTCCATGAGTTTCACCTAATGGCCGGCGCCTCGCCCCGCGCCACCCCTGCCCCCGCCGCCGCCGCCTCGCCCCGCGCCCCCGCCTCGCCCCGCGCCCCCGCCTTCCCCCACCCGACTTACCAGGGAGTCGACTCAGGATCTGAAATCAGACACCAACAGACTGGTTTGTGGGCCGAGAAACACCCCCGACCCTCCCCAAGCCCCCTGTGCCCCCGCGCATCACCCGCGCCCCCCTGCGCCCCGAGGCCCGACCCGCCCGGCGGCGGCAGGCCGCGCGGCCGTCCCGAGCCCCGCTCGGCCTCCCTCCGTCGCCACGACCCGGCTCTCCCGCCGCCCGCCCGCCCGGCTTTGGCTTTGCAAAGAAATGCATTTTTGTTTCTGTTTTAATGATTTTTATGGTTTATTTAGGAGCGGCGACCTGCCGCCGGCTCCTTCCGCTGCGAGGGCGCCGTCGGGGGACGGCCGGGCGGGTTCGCGAAAAGGCACGGAGAGACCCCAGAGAGAATCAAATCCATTTTGATTAAGCATTAATGAGCGACAGCGAATGTGATGGGGTAAAAAAGAAAACAAAATAAAAGCTTCTTTTTGTAAAAAACAAAGGGGATAAAAGGGGGAAGAAAAAAGCGCGCAAGAGCGCTTCCCTTTTTCGGATCTTTGATTTCGTGACAGTTGAGTTGCCGATCCTCCCTACCTTTATTTACGCATTTATTTACGTTCCTGCTGCTATTGTCCCTCCGCAGCGCCGGCGGAGGCGCCGCCGCGCCCCCCGCCCCGCCTGGCCTGGCTCGGCCCGGCCCGGCTCGGCCCCGCGGCCCGCCCGCCTGCATGTGCCGGTCACCCCGCCGCAGGGCAGGGCCACTGGAGGAATGAACAAACGATGTGAAATAGGATGTTTTGTGTAGATAAAGCATTCTTGTTACATACTGGTCGATTCGTGATATGTTTTAACTTATTGTCTGTGCTTATTTATTGAACTTTGGGTTACTTAATAAATGTTTGAGCTAATATAAAACATATTACTTGACTTTTCCGGACACGTTTATATCAAGTTAATGTGAATGGATAAATAAAATCATTTTCAGTATGTGATATGAAGAATTATAGATTTTGATGTGGCGTGTGAGATATGAGAGGTGTCTTCAACTGCAGGCAAAAAAAAAAAAATAGACAGGACTTCTTTCTGTGGTATTCACTGAGTCCTTTGTCACAAGTTTGGGGATAGTTTGCTTGCTTAACTTTGCATTGATGCCTTTCACTTGTCACAATTTTAATACTTCATGATTAATAAACTTTTGTTAATCTTTCTGTGTGGTTGGCCTTTAAAGTGCAAATAACGAAAAGTTCTGTGGTGCTGCAGGGCAGGACAAGGGATGAAGGAGAGGGGGTCAGCGGGAGGCTGGGGCAGGCAGGTGGGCAGTGGGGAAATGATCAGTTTTATGGAATGTGAAATGAGAGCACACTGCTGGCAAGGCAAGGCCCATGAAAGAAAGAACTCTTGCTTTACCCCTGTGCAAACTTTGATATGGTGGGAAAAAGAAATGCAGTACATTGCCAAGCATCATACAGCCAGGTTTGGGCTTCTTTATTTCTTCTTCCCCCCTCGCCCTTGCCTTTTATGCAATACACTAAGATCTCTTCTCCTTGTACATCAATTACACACCTCTTAATTACACACCTGAGAGTGCACGACTCCATAGGCACCCACAGAAGGGTCCTTGCCCGCTCCAAAGTGCATATTACATATGCATATTTAATTTAAAAGAGAAATAAAAGCAGAATAAATTATTGGTGATCCAGACCACAAGTGAGTCCTCTGGGAGTCACCTGAAGAAAGAGCCCTACGCCCTCCTGCTGGAGTCTGCTCCTGCAGGTGCTGTAGCAAACCAGGATGCTCCACCTGAGGTAGTCTAGGATAGGCAAGACAGGTCCCATACCACAATCCACACCACAGTAGCACTTGGGAAAAGAAGTCGCCGTGTTCTGTCTCTCCTTCCAGCCCTGCCTCTCTCCCCAGCCCAGCCTCAGGCAGAGCAGCTGCCCCTCCTCACCCGGCTTGGCTCCGAGATTGAAATCTGTGTTCAGTTTGGTTCGGCCATCAAAGGCATGGGCACACAGGCTGCTTATGGAGCAGAGCTGGCTGGGGAACCTCCAGCTTCCCTATCCAACATGTGTGACCCTGCATAGGCCAAGGGGAGTAGCTTGGTCTTCCCAGTTCCACTGTGTTCTCTTCCCCATAGTGTGGCCTGCCAGGAGGGCGAAAAGCCTCCACCTTCATGCAGAAGAGTGCAAATCTCACTCTACTTCTTCCAAATGTATGGAAGGTTGTTTACAAGCACATAATTTTTACAGCTGCTTTATATTGCTATAAGCAAGACAGCTTTATGATGTAGGAACGTCGTAAAGTGTGATATGGAAGATCTTAAAAAAAGATGTGCTTTTCAATGGTGGAGAAAAATGCTCTTTCTGGCTGGGGGCAGGGGATTGAGACACAACCTGTAAGATCCAACTCTTGACACTGAACATTGCAGGTCTGTGAAAGGGACCTTCCAAAGGTCCTTCAGCTTAATGCTCGCTCTTAGAACATCCATCATTTCCTCCATATTCTAGGCAACTGTAGTCCTGGTTATGAGCAAAGCTTTTTGATCCTACACAACTTTGATACAAATTTGATTTGTTTCCATAGCAATAGATCCTTGTGTTCTGAGTCCTGGAGATTTTTGAAATTATATGTACCCTTAGCATCTGCTGAAGCTTTGTAGCATAAAACATCTAAGCTGATGCTCTTATGTGTTTAACATGGGTGGAAGGAAGGAGACCACAGGCTTCACTCACATATGCTACACGCTTTGTCTGAATTATTTTGCTATAAAGTCTCAATCTTGCTGATGTTAAAAGCTAAAAATTAAACAGCACGAACCAGTTCTATCTAACAACATGAACAGCTTTGCTTCATTCACGTAAAGCGATCAAAATAAATGAATGAATTCCATACAAATTGAGAAGGAATAGTTATGCTGAATAACAATTAGCCTATTACTGACTAAGTAGGTAACACCAGGCGCTGGGGCTGTCACAAGCTGGGCTTATTTGCTTATATTGAGGTGCATTTTAGCCTTAAGCTGTTCCACCCAGTGTGCAAGTAGACTGAGATTTATGTTCTTATGTACGGATTCATTTCCACGACGGCACATATTCATGTAATTCTACTTTCCTCTAAACACAACATCACCCCTAATGTCTAAGGAATATACATAAAGATAATGTCACTGAACCTTTCATTTGCTCTCTTGATGAAATGCTTTGACACTCTCTCTCTCCGCTCTTCCTCTGCTTAAATCCCCATGGAAGGCAGAATCTGCTCGTACCCACTGCTGGAGATTGCAATCACTGAGCAATTACTAATAAGGGAAGAAAGTTTGTGCAAGGCAAAGGATCAGGCAACATTGCAGCATGGATTATATTATTGTACTAGCTGTAATGATCCCTGCTCTTAGAAATGAAAATGTGGCTTAATTTGTGTTGTGGTATTTAAATTTTCATTTTTCAGAATAAAAATCTCAGCACATGAAAATGTATCTTGCAGTAATGGAGGTATGGCAGTTAACCTGTCAGTTGAAAGTATGTAACCTTCCTTTTCTCCTTTTCATGACAAAGGTAATCTCATCTGAGGGCATTTATGTGAAGAAATAACAGCATGGCATGGTGAAACCACTGGCTCATTAATCCTGGCATCTACTTCCTGCAGGGCTTCTTGATTAGTTAGATTCATTCATCAGGTATTTCAGAGTTTTTGATTTCTCACCACTGGTTAGGTTCACTGAGTTTGGGCTAAATTGAGCCAGAAGCAATGTTTATTAGTAATTTTGTAATACAGACTACTCTAATAATTCAGTACAAATATTTCATCTGAAATATATCCATTCACTCTAACACCTAATGCAGCTGTGTTCAGAGAGTACTGAGAGAACAGAGTGATTTGGCAGTATTTTTGAAATTATTAACATGAGAGCTAATAACAAAATCTTCTTCGTTTCCAATGTTGGAATTAAGATTCCTTTCATTCTAAAGCAAGCTCTGGCAGGGAGAGGACCACCTCTTACCTGCTGTTAGGGCTGAGCTCAGGGTGGTTGTTCTGGGAAGCGTGGCCTTTCAGCATAGAGATGAAAAGGAAGAACAAGGAATTGTGTGTTATAAACACAGGAAAAATCCAGGTGACACAGAAGTGAATGGGAGAGGAATCCTCTGAAATTAGCAACCTGTAAAGTCACTGGTATGTTTCTACGGTTTGATAGCTGAAATAGAGTTACTGCTTGGACAGTAGGGACAAAGAAGGAAAGGCCCTTATCCAGCAGTCTTTGAAGCCCTTACTGACGTGGCAGTGAATTCAGCAGATGCATGTGTGAACATTTGCAGGGTTGGTACTCAAAATTGCTCCACCACTCAGCTTTCTCATAGTGAAAAACTTTATTTTTTGAAAGATATAGGAGGACCACACATGAATCACATTCAAGTATCTGACCACACCTCATGCCGCATGAGCTCATCCAGCCATGGAGGAGGTAAGATCTGGTGTCTGAGAGTCCATTTGACTTCATGAATGCATGTGATATCCCCAAAAATTTATTGGACAGATGGTAGCAATGTCTTAACTCAGAGCAACAGATGTAGAACCCACTGGCTCCTTTTAAACATCATGGACCAATCATTACCCTTGCATCAATGGACCCAGGAAAGAAAAACAGAGGTGTTTGTCGTGGTGGAAGGGCACAGTAGGTAAAACAGTTTTAATTTTTCACCTGATCACAACATGAATAGCAGCAAGAGTGAAAGGGGATGGTCTTGCCTAGGATGTGGCAGGGGATGCTGCTTGATTAACCAGCATACTTTTATTTAAACTATGCATGAAGGACTTCATGAATGGCCATGTAAGGCCTTCTGTGAGATTTAGTTCTACTCCTCAGAGAAAAACTGGTAGGAGGATGTCTCCCTTCCACAATTCTCAAAGCTGGGGCTCATGCA